TAGTCTGCAGCGTTTCATAGAAAATCGCCTAATTGCACTGAATGGCTCTGCTGTAAATGAATAACATCCATTCTCTTCTCAGCCCAAATTGTTTCTGGGTACAAGTCTTGCTCATCCCTAGCTTGTACCCTTTTCCTTTCCCAAGATGATTCTTCCATGTTTCGTCAACTCCCTGTACCTGACAGTTAGCTTTCTTGATTGTAATGTAAGTGCCTGACACTAAGCTTTGGATTGCTGAGGCATCTACTTTAAAGACATCCACCTTGAATAAACACATTGCCAGCTACACAATGAGACAAAGGGCCAGGCTGCCCCACCCATAAAGTTCCCCTATAGAGGAAGCTCTGGTTGACCTAGATTATTGACCATTTGACTAACCGATGACTGTTTTTCCCTTCCTGTATTTTAGTTCCTGTTCTTATGTTTTTGTTTTTGTTTTTGTTTTTCTGTCATTTTTTTTTTTTGCTGAGGAAGATTTGCCCTGAGCTAACATCTGTTGCTAATCTTACTCTACTTTTTTTTTTTTGTATGCAAGCCATCATCATGGCATGGCCACTGATAGACAAGTGGTGTAGGTCCATCCCTGGGAACTGAACCCGGGCTGCCAAAGTGGAGCATAGCAAACTCAATCTACTAGGCCACAGGGGCTGGTCCTGTTCTTATGTTTTAAATTCACCAATAAAGAGTAAGTCCGTGAAACCCTAAGCACCCCAGCCTTGACCCCAATAAAGGCAAAACCCCAGGTCCATGCTCTCGGTCTCACTCTCTCTCCCTCTCTCTCTACCTGCAGCCTCGCTGAGTGGCGCAGGCATGCCGTGTACCCTCCAGGACCTATGAGTAGTAAACCTGTCTTTTCAAAGTTCCCTGATGGTTGTTGCTGAGGTGCATCTTGCGACCATAATAAGAAACACAAGGGGTGGTGCTGCCACAACATTGGCTCCAGTCAGGGAAATGTCTATGGGGGCTCCCAAGAGTAGTACAAGCCCAAGTGAGTGCCGCCAGCCATCCTAACTGACAGCATCACTATCAATAAGATGAGATTGACACAAAACACTCCCTTATACCTTCAACCCATCCTCAAATGATGTGTTCATATCCTATGTCTCTAAGAAAACTAGGCATGAAGACAGTCTACCTCAAAATTCCACCTATATTTTCACCAATCTTCATCCTCTTTCCTCAGTTATCAGAAGAGTAATTGGCTCTACTGGATTCCCTCTGCCTAGAGTACCCTTCCCCTTATATCCATACAGCTTATTCTCTCATCTCATTCAAATTTTCACTCAGATGTCATCTTTTCGATGAGGTCTACTTGGACCCCCTTATTTAAAATTAAAACGCATGGGCCGGCCCCGTGGCCTGGCGGTTGGGTGCGTGTGCTCCGCTGCTGGCGGCCCGGGTTCGCATCCCGGGCGCGCACCGGTGCACTGCTTCTCCGGCCATGCTGGGGCCGCGTCCCACATACAGCAACTGGAAGGATGTGCAGCTATGACATACAACTACCTACTGGGGCTTTAAGGGGAAAAAATAAATAAATAAAATCTTTAAAATTAAAACCCCTAACTCATAGTCTCCATGCTTTTCTCTTATCACACTCTATTATTTTTGTTCCATGTCATATATTATCAACGGGCCAACTATGTAGTTTACTTATTCAATTGGTCTAATGTTAGTCCTTCTGAGAAAAAAACAAGTCTTCCATAGAACAGGGGTTCTTCTACATTTGTTCAGTGAAAGGTACTGGCCACATGGTATATATTTCATAAATATTCATGGGATAAATGAATGCATGTCTTCCTCTTAAGCTACCAACCAATCTTTTTTCTAGTCTTCAAGAAAAAACATCTTAAACACTTTTATTTTATAAAAACCTTACAAATACTGTATGATCTCTCTTATTTGTGGAATCTAAAAAAAAAAAATAAAGTAAAAAACAAACCAAGCTCATAGATACAGAGAACAGATTAGTGGTTGCAAGAAGTGGTGGGGTGGAGGCTGGAAGAAATGGATGAACTGTTTTTTTATTTTTTATTTTAAATAAGTAAAAAATTTTTTAAAAGATTGACAACATGAAAGAATCAGAATCATAAAACAAGGTACTGTAAGAAAAATATCAGGCAGATCCAATAAAGAACTAAGTGGAAATTCTTGAACTGAAAAAGATAGCCTTTGAAATTAAAAAAAAAAAAAAACCTTAAAATAGAGAAAATATATTTTAGAAAAAAGTATGACAAAACTAATACAAATATATTTGTCTTAAAAAAGGTAAATGAGCTCAACTGAACTCTTTAAAATCAGAGAGAAGTAAGAGAAGGAGTAAAGAAGGGAAAGAGGAGGGAGAGGGAGAAGGAGACAGAGAGCAGGCTTGGAGACTCAATCCAAACCTATAAAAAGAAAACTTTAAAAATGAAGTAATTCAAAGATTAAAAAGAAAATAAGCACAATATTTTATGATGTTATTTAAAACAAAAAAACAAGAGAGTTCAGGGAATTACAAAACAAGTCAAAGTTGAGCAAGATGGAGGGCGAGGAGGTCCCAATACTCGTCTCCCCCCAAAAGAATAAAAACAACAAACAACTGCAAACCAAAGAAAACAGCACTGGGAAAGTTCTGGACTACAATGAAGAAACACTAGTAATCCTGCTAAGTTTAAAAACCAAGGATGGCTGCAGAAAAACATAAGAAGCATTTATCTGTGTCACACCACCCCCAATCCAGAGCAGCTTTGTGCCAAGAGGGCTCCTGTCAGAGAGATTTGACCCCATGGGAAAAGGAGAGCAGGAGAAGCCCAGCAAACATCAGCACCTTGGACATTTGCAGACTTTGCTACTGAGGACCCCACAGTCTTCACCAATGCTGAACCCAGCTTTTGGAGCTGGCTGGAGTCCCAGCTAGCGTGTCTCCTTCCCAGGTCTGCACATGTCACTGTGGTGAGACCTGCCCCCAGGTGCCCCAGTCACTGCTGTGCCCTGCTATCTGGTACTGGGATGCCACAGCAGCTTGCCATCTACAAGACCAGAGCTGCCACTGCTTTTCACCCAGCCTCTAGGCCCCAAATTGTGGCTTTGACCTGCCATTACCAGGGCTGAGCTTCCACTGCTCTGCATCCCACCCTCGAGTCCTAAGTCAGGGCTTTTACCCACCATCACCAGGCTGCACTGCTGCAGCTGTGTGCCCCAGTCCCAAGGTTCTAAGTCGTGGCTTTGATGTGCCATTATCAGGGCTGCACTATTGCTGCTCTGTACCCTGCCCCTGGGTCCAAAGTTGAGGCTTTGACCCATCATCACTGAGGTCACACTGCTTCAGCTCTGTGTTCCAGCCCCAGGGTTCTAAGTCATGGCTTTTGACCTGTCATCATGTGGGCTGAGCTACTGATGTTCTGCAACTGCCCCCTACAGGCAGTTGAGACTTTGACCCACCATTCCCAGGGCATGCTACTATTGCACCCTGTTCAGTGCGAGCCCATGCTGCTGCTATGTCCTGCCTGCAGTGCCCAAGTCACTGCAGTGAGCCTTAGAGACCCAGACCCCAGTTCACAGGAGATCTGCACACTCCTGCACCTGAGACACTGAGAGTAGAGCACATGTGCTCCCAGACCAAGATATTGTGGTAGTTTTGCATGTACCTGATCTCAGGACGCCAGCTCTACTGCTGCTCTGAGTGCCAGTGTGCCACATCTGGCACCAAGAGGAATTGCCTCAACTAGAACTTCTTCCCAAGGACAAAAAAAGAGAATAGGAGGACATCAGGAGCCTTCACCTCCAAGGACCCCAATAACCCTAGCTACCAGTGCCACCCACAGGACCTCCACAATCTTGACTGTAAAAGGTTATCACAGTCTTGGCTGATGTTGACCTCAGTGGATGGAGCTTCACAGAGACTTCACCACTATGCCCTCTCTGGAACCGGAGATACTGCACTCCACCCAGCCAGTGTCCTCACAGCCTCCTTCAGGTGAAAGTCTTTCCCCACTGACGTCAGTCTGAGAAAGCTAGAAGAGGTGGCTGCTCCCTCAAATGCACAGACATCGACACAAAGCCATTAGAAACAAAAGAAGCAAGGAATCATGACACCACTAAGGAACACAAAAATAATTATTTTAAGAAAGTCTCAGTGAAATTCAAGGGAACACAGACAACTCAGTGAACTCAGGAAAACAGTGCATGAACAAAATGAAAAGTTTAACAAAGAGATAGAAATCATGAAAAAGAACCAAACAGAAATTCTGGACCTGAAGAATTTTAGGTGAATAAATGAAATGAAAAATGCAATAGAGAACTTTAATAGCAGGCTTAATGACACAGAAGAAAGAATCTGTGAAGTTGAAGACAGATCTCCTGAAGTCATCCAGTCAGAGGAGAAAAAAGAAATATGAATGAAAAAGAAGGGGTTCCAGTTCAACATGGTGACATAGGAAACTCTTGAACTCACCTCCTCCCGTGGAAACACTCAATCTACAGCTACATCAGCTACCCCTGAAAGAAATCCAAACTAGCTGAGCCAATCCTACACATCAGGAGAACAAGAAAAATCCCACATCAAAATAAGTAGGAGAGGCTGAGATACAGTCTCGTCATAAACCCTACCCCTGGCACAGCAACACACAATTGGGAGGGAACTCTCAATTCCTGCTTCTCCCTGAGGAGTGAAGAGTTTGGACCCCACATCTGGCATCCTAAATTTTAAGACTTCCACCTGAGAGATGGGCTTCCAAAACATCTAGCTCTGAAAGCCAACAGGACTAGATGAAGAGGAAGAAAGGGTCAGTGAACTCAAAAACAAGGCAGTGGAATTCATCCAATCACAGGAGCAGAAAGAAAAAGAGTGAAGATGGCTTAAAGGACTTAAGGGACAACATCAAGCAGATGTTCATATTATAGGGATCTAAGAAAGAGAAGAGAGAGAGAAAGGGGAAGAATTATTTAAAGAAATAATGGCTGAAAACTTTCCTACCCTGCGGAAGGAAACATACATCCAGATCCAAAAAGCTTAGAGAGTTCCAAAAAAGATGAATCCAAACACCTCCACACCAAGACACATTATAATTTAATTGTCAATAGTTAAAGACAAGGAAAGAATCCTAAAAGCAGCAAGTGAAAAACAACTTGTTAAGTACCCGCATAAGACTATCAGCAGATTTTTCAGCAGAAGTTTGCAGGCTAGAAGAAGTGACACAATATATTCTGAGCACTGGAAAAAAAAAAAAATGCTAACCAAGGATACTCTTTCCAGCAAAGCTGTCCTTCAGAATTGAAGAAGAGATAGACAAAGAGTTTTCTAGACAAGCAAAAGCTAAAGGAGTTCATCACCCACTAACTGACGTTCCAAGAAATGTTAAAGGCATTTCTTGAAGGTGAAATGAAAGAGCACTAATTAGTAACAGGAAGACATATGAAAATATAAATCTCACTGGTAAAGGTAAATATATTGTTAAATTCAAAATAGTCTAATGATGTAATGGTGATGAGTCATTCACTTACACATCTACGTGAAAGACAAAATTAGTAAAAATAACTACAATAATTATTAATGGATACACAGGATAAAAAGATGTAAATTGTGATATCAAAAATATAAACGTGGGGGAGAGTAAAAATGTTGCTTTAGAACGCTTTTGAATGTAGTTATCAACTTAAAATAAACTGTTATAACTCTATGATGGTTTATTGTAGGCCTCATGGTAGTCACAAAGCAAAAACTTATAGTAGACACACAAAAGATAAAGAGAAAGGAATCTAAGCATATCACTACAGAAAATCATCAAATCACAAAGGAAGAGAGAAAGAGAAGAGGGTAGGAACAGAGAATTACAAAAGAGCTAGAAAACAATTAAGAAAATGGCAATAAGTACATACTTATCCATAATTATTTTAAATGTAAGTAGACTAAATTCTTTAATCAAAAGACATAGAGTGGCTGAATGGATTAAAACAAATAAGACTCAGCTGTATGCTGCCTACAAGAGAGTCACTTCAGATGTAAGGACACAGACAGACTGAAAGTGAAGGGATGGAAAAAGTTATTTCATGCAAACAGAAACCAGAAGAAAACTGGGGTAGCTATACAATCATACACCACATAAGAACATTTTGATCGACGGACTACATATACCATGGTGGTCCCATAAGATTAGTACCGTATAGCTTTGCATCTAGTAAGCCATACAATCTATGTTTGTGTAAGTATACTCTTTGATGTTTGCATGACGAAATCACCTAACAATGCATTTCTCAGAATGTATCCCCTTCGTTAAGCAATGCATGACTACTTATATCAAAAAGGTATATTTAAAGACAAAGACTGTAATAAGAGACAAAGAAGGCCATTATACATTGATAAAGGGATCAATTCATCAAGAGGATATAACATATGTAAATATTTATGCACCTAACATGGGAGCACCTAAATATAAAAGCAAATATTAACAGATCTAAAGGGAGAAACAGATGGTGATACAATAATAGCAATTAGGCACGAAAAAGTAATAAAACTCATCCAAATCAGTAAGAAAGAAGTAAAATTATCTCTGTTTGTACATGACATGACCTTATATATAGAACACCCTAAAGACTCCATCAAAAAACTGTCAGAACTGATAAATGAATTCAGCAAAGCTGCAGGTCAAAATCAACATACAAAACTCAGTTGCTTCTCTATACATTAACTGTGAACTATATAAAAGAGAAATTAAGAAAGCTATTTATAATAGCAGCAAAAACAATAAAATAGCTAGAAAAAAATTTAACCAAGGAGATGAAAGACCTGTGCACTGAGAACTATGAGAATTTGATGAAAGAAATGGAAGAAAACACAAATAAATGTAAAGATATTCTGTGTTCTTGGATGGAAGAATTAATATTATTAAAATGTCTATACTACCCAAAGTGATCTACAAATTCAATGCTCTCCCTATCAAAATTTCAATTGCATTTTTCACAGAAATGGAAAAAACACTATCCTAAAATTTTTATGGAACTCTAAAAGATCCTGAATATCCAAGGCAGCCTTGAGAAAGAAGAACACAGCTGGAGACATCACACTTCCGGATTTAAAAATATATTACAAATATAGTAATAAAACAGTATGGTACTGGTGTAAAAAATAAAAGGTACATAGATAAGTGGAACAGAATAAAGAGCCCAGAAATAAACCTACACATATAAGGTCAACTAATCTTTGACAGTGGTGCCAAGGACACACAATGGGTAAAAGATAGTCTCTCAATAAATGGTGCTGGGAAAGCTTATATTCACAGGCAAAAGAATGAAACTTGATTGCTATCTTATACCACGCACAAAAATTAACTAAAAATGGATTAAAGACTTGAATGTAAGACCTGAAGCCATAAAGCTCTTAGAAGAAATCAGAGGGAAAAAGATTCTTGACATTGATCTTGACATCGGTACTTGACTTTGGCAATGATTTCTTGGATAAGTCACCAAAAGCACAAGCAACAAAAGCTAAAATAAACAAATAGGAGTATATTAAACTACGGAGCTTCAGCACAGCAAAGGAAACCATCAACAAAACGAAAAGGAAACCTACCAAATGGAAGAAAAAACCTGCAGACCATATATCTGATAGCAGTTACTATCCAAATTATATAAAGAACTCATACAACTCAATAGCGAAAAAGCAAATAAACCAATTAAAAAATGGGCAAAGGACCTGAATAGGCATTTTTCCAAACAATATAGTCAAAGGGCCAACAGTAACATGAAAAGGTGCTCAACATCATTAACAACTGGGAAATGCAAATCAGAACCACAGTTAGATATTTAATCACAGTTAGATATCACATCTGTTAGGATAGCTATTATCAAAAAGACGAGATAACAACTGTTGCCAAGGATATGGGGAAAAGAAAATCCTTATACAGGGTTGGTAGGAATGACAATTGGTACAGCCATTGTGGAAAACAGTATGGAGGTTCCTCAAAAAATTAAAAATAGAACTACCATATGATCCAGTAATCCCACTCTTGTGAATATGTCTGAAGGAAATGAAATCTGTATTTCAAAGAGATATCTGTACTCCCATGTTCATTGCAGCCTTATTCACAATAGTCAAGATATGGAAACAACCTTAAAATCCTTCAACAGATGAATGGATAAAGAAAATGTGGTGTGTGTGTGTGTGTGTGTGTATTCACACGCACAATGGAATATTATTCAGCCATGGGAAAGAAGAAAATCCTGCCACTTGCGATAGCATGGGTGGACCTGAGGGCATTATGCTAAGTGAAATAAGGCAGACAAAGACAAATACTCTATAGTACCACTTATGTATGGACTCTTAAAAAGAAAAATCCAATTTCGTAGAAACAGAGAATAGAATGGTGGTTGCCAGGGCCTGTAGGCAGCGGGAAATTGGGAGGTATAGGTGGAAGGGTACACACTTTCAATTATAAGAAGAATAAGTTGTGTGGATCTAATGCACAGCATTGTAACTATAGTTAATAATACATTACCATATACTTGAAAGTTGCTGAGAGTAGGTCTTCTTAAGCATTCTACCACAGACACACAAAAAAGAGTTAACTATGTGAGGTGATGGATATGTTAATTATCTCCATCTCGGTATTCATTCCAGAATGTATATGTATATCAAATCATCACAATGTACATTTTAAATATATACAATTATACTTGTCAATTATTCCTCAAATTTTGGTAAAAAAGATGAATTAATGTAAAAAAAGCGTTATAAGACATTAGATAGGCACTTTATGATGCTAAAGATGGCTGTCAACAATGAATATCTATTTACTAAGAATAACGTAGTTAATATTATGAAGTAAAACTATGGAAGTAAAGAAATATTAGAAAACCTCTAGTATGAGGAAACAATTCATTTCTTTAGTCCAGATTGGTAAGTCAATAAATTATAACAATGGAAATAATAATCAAAAGTAAAGACTGAAGATCTAACAAGCATAATGAATGTGATAGATCTCAGCAAAATATATTGACCTTTACATGTGAAAAGATACTCCCTCCATACCCATAAAATGATAAACATGACCAGAATCTCCACTGCAAAAAAACTCCATAAATCCCAAAACATAAATGTTGTACAGATACCATTATCTGAGTAAAGGAAAAGAAAACTAGAAAATTTTAACATCAAAATCAGAAAACCAAAATACCTTACCAAAGTGAAATTAAAGAATACTTCATTTTTTTTTCTTTTTTGTTTATTGCGGTAACGTTGGTTTATAACATCGTATAAATTTCAGGTGTACATCATTATACTTCTATTTCTGCATGGATTACATCATGTTCTCATGTTCACCATCCAAATACTAATTACAATACATCACCACACATGTGCCTAATTATCCCTTTTGCCCTCCCACCTTCCCCCCTGGTAACCACAAATCCAATCTCTGTCTCTATGTGATTGTTTGTTGTTGTTATTAGCTACTACTTAATGAGTGAGATCATACCGATTTGACCTTCTTCCTCTGACATTTCACTTTGCATAATACCCTCAACGTCCATCCATGTTGTCACAAATGGCTGGATTTCATCATTTATACAGCTGAGTAGTATTCCATTGTGTATATATACCACAGCTTCTTTATCCATTCATCCCTTGATGGGCACTTAGGTTGCTTCTGAGTCTTGGCTATTGTGAATAATACTGCAATGAACACAGGGGTGCATGTATCTTTATGCATTGGTGTTTTCAAGTTCTTTGGACAAATACCCAGCAATGGAATAGCTGGATCATATGGTAGTTCTATCCTTAATTTTTTGAGGAATCTCCATACTGTTTTCCATAGTGGCTGCACCAGTTTGCACTCCCACCAGCAGTGTATGAGAGTTCCCTTCTCTCCACATCCTCTCCAACACTTGTTGTTTCCTGTCTTGTTAATTATAGCCATTCTGATGGATGTGAGGTGATATAATTCTTCGTAGTTTTGATTTGCATTTCCCTGATAGTTAATGATGTTGTGCATCTTTTCATGTGCCTGTTTACCATCTGTATATCTTCTTTGGAGAAATGTCTGTTCAGGTCTTTTGCCCATTTTTTAATAGGGTTGTTAGTTCTTTTGTTGTTTAGATGCATGAGTTCTTTATACATTTTGGAGATTAACCCCTTATCATATGTATGGTTTGCAAATATCTTCTCCCAATTGTTAGGTTGTCTTTTCGTTTTGTTGATGGTTTCCTTTGTGGTGCAGAAGCTTTTCAGTTTGATGTAGTCCCATTTGTTTATTTTTTCTATTGTATCTCTTGCCCGGTGAGACATGGTGCTTGAAAATATGTTGCTAAGACCAATGTCGAAAAGGGTACTCCTATGTTTTCTTCCAGAAGTTTCATAGTTTCAGGTCTTACATTCAAGTCTTTAATCCATTTTGAGTTAATTTTTGTGT